TTATACGTTTGTTGGAGGAATTTTGGTTACATGGGCAGTAAGAAACAAAAAATGGTGTCACAATCATTTGCTGAGACCGAGTATGGAGGTATGTCTTAAAGGATTTGTGAGATCCTTTGGTTACGGAGACTACTTTGGGGACTTGGGTTTAAGCCGAATGATGCAATGAAGTTATATTGTGATAATAAGTCTGCCATGGACATTACAGACAATCCGGTATAGCATGATGGAACAAAACATGTGGATGTTAACAAACACTTTATTAAGGAGAATCTGGAGAAGAAGATTGTGCTATACTGTTTGAAAACTCTAGCGAACATCTTACAGATTTCCTTATTCATGTTGAAGGTAGTAAGTGTTTAATAACTCAGTTGTCAAGTTGGGCATGTGTGATATTTATGCGCCAACTTGAGGGGGAGTGTTAAAATGAATCATTAAGAGTAGCTATTGTAGGAATCCTTAGAGATATTATAGGAGTTGTTGTGAAAATGGGGATACGTGTGCAGTGGAGATAAAGTAAATAAGACACAATATTTACGAGGTTCGACAAGTGTGCTTACGTCCTTAGGGGCAGTAGCAATAGTCTCTCTCATTATCATACTGAAATTACAAAGTAATGGAAACAATACATTGTATTTATGCCTTTCTATTCTATATGTAAGCTGATAAGCCTTTATATAGAGAAACTATATCTTCTTTGTTAAGGTTAAAAAGTGTGAAAGTAGGCAACACAACTTCAATATTTGTTGAGTGTCGATGGTTTTTTCTTCAAGTGGGTTATCCACCTTTATAGCAGGAGTCCTTTATTAGGAAGAAATTATATTGTGTTATAGCCTTCCTTGTAGAACAAGGTTTGTATGTGTATATGTTGTAAATCCTTATTGAATTATAAACAAGTATTTTGGGTGTACAATCCTACTCGGCATCTAGAGCTAGGTCGTAAAAGAACAAAAACCCTAAACAAATTCCGCTGCTATCTACAAGGGCTGTATTCTTCTGCCCTTGCTGTACTAGTGCTGCAAGTGAGTCGTTCCCAAATTTTACGTCTAAATTTATACAATTACATTCCTAAATATTATTAATGACAACAACTTGGATTTTTTTTTTAATCGATTCATGCTCATTCCGATTCCATCATCCGATTGCGTAATGTTTATCTGAAACGATTCCCTAATACACCGTTCCATTTTTGGCTGAAATAATGGCCCAAGGCCCATAACTAAGCAGAAGCCCAATTAGCCCAAGGGGGCCACTCAGAAAACCAGAGCAGACCAAGAACTCCATTTACAAACCCACAAAACCCTAACCCTAGCATCTATAAAAACAAAGATAACCATTTCTCCGCAACCCCCAACCCTCACTCCTGCCGTGTGCTCTCCCCTTCCCCTCCATTCTTCTCACAACCCATAACCCTCAATAATGGCAGAGAGACCAGCTGAGAGAGGCCGCGGCGGATTCGGTCGTGGATTCGGTGACCGCGGAGGACGCGGTGACCGTGGTGGACGCGGGCGCGGACGCCGACCCGGCCGACGCGAAGAGGAAGAGAAGTGGGTCCCAGTGACGAAGCTAGGCCGCCTTGTGAAGGAGGGCAAGATCCGCAGCCTGGAGCAGATCTATCTCCACTCCCTCCCCATCAAGGAGCACCAGATCATCGACACTCTCGTCACCCCCGGCAGTCTGAAGGATGAGGTCATGAAGATTATGCCGGTGCAGAAGCAGACCCGGGCCGGTCAGCGAACCCGGTTCAAGGCCTTCGTGGTGGTCGGGGACACGAACGGGCATGTTGGGCTCGGCGTGAAGTGCAGCAAGGAGGTGGCGACTGCGATTCGCGGCGCAATTATATTGGCTAAGCTGTCTGTGATTCCGGTGAGGAGAGGTTACTGGGGTAACAAGATTGGTAAGCCCCATACAGTGCCGTGTAAGGTGACCGGGAAGTGTGGGTCTGTCACGGTGAGGATGGTGCCCGCTCCCCGTGGTTCCGGGATTGTGGCTGCCCGTGTTCCCAAGAAGGTGTTGCAGTTTGCTGGTATTGATGATGTCTTCACTTCATCCCGTGGCTCCACCAAGACCCTTGGCAATTTCGTCAAGGTATATATCTTTCGAGACTTTCGATTATTATTGATACCATATTGTGTTCAATTATTTATTTGATATTGTTTGCATTGATTGATATATATATCGTTGTGCTAATTTGAAATGTTTGACAAACTGTTTATTCATTTCGTTGACAAAGAGCTCTTTACTCTGAGAATTAGGCTTGTTGCAGTGTGTTGGCTGGTGTATGATCACAGTGTTTATATCCATAAAATTGTACTTGTGAAGATTTGCAATCTCGGCCCGTTGTAGCAAGCTACCTGTATTGTTTAAAATGTGGATTGCTTTGTTTTTAAAAGTTGAAATCTTTGTTGAAACCCTTTCTGCAATACGTTTAGTTGAAGTGATACATTATCTTGATATGGGATATGATGATATGTTTTCGATATGTCGTCATGATACAAGACATGAGATTACAAATTTCGTTTACCTTTACTAGTGATGGTTTGAACTATTAATGTGTTTGGAGGATCTCTTTTGTTATTTTGCATATAGTATGCATGAATGAGATGAAATTCAAAGCCCTGCTACCGAGTTTTTGCGTGTTTAGTCTATGGTTCTGACTATTAAGTCGGCTAGTCAATACTATGTCGTGAGTCATTAATATAGAGGATATTACTTGCTCATAGGTGATGGTTGCATGATGCCGAAGTTATGTTTTCAAATGGTGCGGAGATCAGTGATTTAGTATTAGGATAATCAAACCCCTTAACATGAAAACCGAGTAAAGCTACATTGCTGATTCCTTTATAGTTGTGCTAATTCTTAATTTGCCGTTTCCCTCAGTACAAACCCAATTATTATTATTATTTTTTTCTTTTTTTTGATGTGATGACAAAACTGGTTGAAGTGTTTGTTTAATTTCATATTGTGTGCATCATATCTGATCACAGTGTTCTTTCAATTGTCGCAGGCCACTTTCGATTGCCTCCTGAAGACTTATGGTTTCTTGACACCTGAGTTCTGGAAAGAGACACGCTTCACCAGTTCTCCGTTCCAGGAGTTCACCGACTTTCTGGGAAAGCCAACTAAACCCCTTCTTATCGAAGATGTTGAGAAAGTAGAAGCCTAGTGTGAGAGATCCTAGTATTCCTTTAAAGATGAAATCTTGGTTTCGAGTTTTCTAGGTTTGAAGACATTAATATGTTGTCTTTTTTTTTGTCTAAGAATGATTAACGTTTATAATTTGTCGTTCTTTTGTGGTAATTTTGATCTATGTCGGATTCAATCATGTTACCTTGCTGAAATTTTTGGACTTACAAGAGCTCCGATACTACTGTTTTGTTCTTTAAGCATTTGCCCCTTCTTACTAATGTGTTCATTTGCCTTGTAAACCTTGTGTGGTGGTTCATACTCACTCTGTAGGACATAATATTTTGGTTTGGAACATGCAATTTAAGGGAGTCGAACCTACGGATAGTGATTGAAAATACCACTAGAGTGCAGTACAATTCGTTCCCGTTAATTTTGTTGTAGCTTTATCCTTTTATCAAAATTACATAATCGTCACCCCTATTTAAGTTAAAGATGAGCAAAGCATATGGTGAAGTTTTCTGAGATTGAAGATCGAGAAGCATGGATTCGGTCGGAGTTTCCTTCTCCTTGCTAGTGGCGTCTCCACAGGTTACTTAACGCCCTCCCGTGGTCTCCGACACTTGTAATCCCCTTTCCCTCCTGCAATGTGCTGAAGGACTTGCAAGTTGGGTCATTAAGGATCCGTTTGGTAGGTTGGATGAGCCATGTTATGAGCTTTTAAAATGAAATTAAATCCAAGATTGTTGTTTGATGTGTTTAATGAGTATCACTCCGTTCCACCAAACGTGCCTCAAGAGTGAAATAAAAGGTCATCCCACGACATCTATATCTGCGACAATGCTTCTAGCAACAGCCATTCTCCTCGTAGTGCGATCATATTACACTACGTTGAATATGGAAAATATTAACTTAGAATTTTGACAAAAGTTAGAATTTATAAATTAACATGTACCAATTTCTTTATTTGGATTCATAAATATAAAAATTTAGAATTTCCATGTGGAAGAAAAACTTGAAATTTGGGACCTCCAATTCCCAAGGTTAAATTCTATGTAAATATATGTAATTTCCAAATTTTTATAAGTGAGAGTTTAGAAATAATAAATTATGTATTCAAATTCTATTGTTCTTTTAAGTTAGTCAAACAAGAAAATTCATAAATTCTATAAAATAAAATTCCATTATTTAATTTTTTTATCCAAACATAGTGTTATAATAGCTATTGATAGTCCATCATAACTTTATGGTGGGTCCCATGTAAAAAAAATGCTGCGCAACTCTCCATATTAGGTGCTTGTGCTACATGCTCCTGACGCAAAATAAATAAATGTCCCAATTGACGTTAGCGTCAACGATTTGGACTCTGACTCAAAATTGACATGGTTGCTGCCATGGTTGATGGAGCTTTTGCAGGCCAAAATGAATTGATGTGTGTTTTGGGTTGGATTTGGGATATAACCGTGTCAATCATAGATTTGAGTGTCATTTGCAACATAAGAAAAATATTTCTTATACACCATTTTTCTATCTCTACACAATCGTGTTTATTCATGTCACTTAATTCTTTTTTTTTTTAATTTATTCAATTCAAAGGTGTAAAAAATTTGTTGATTTCTTACCATTCTTCCATTTCAAGTAGTAAATAGGGTAAAATATCACAAATAGAGTGAAATCTATATTTGGTGGATTATCCTAAAATTTGAGAACTCGATTCCACTGCGTTTGCCTTTGTTTAGCTGCAAAGGATTTTCAAGAAAGATAAATTAAGACACGTGGCAACAACCCGTTGGCCATAATATTTATGTCGATAAGGAAGTGGATGATGGTCTTCCAAGAAACACATACTCTTGCCACTTTGGACTTTAAACTAGCTCAGAATTTCACTTCACTCATACGCAAATCAGATAGAACCATAGAGAGAGTCCAAAACTAAAAGCTAACATTTGCAGAGATGGCATCCATGACCATGACAGCCGCCTCATTCCTGACTGCAGGCTCAGTCTCAACCGTCGCCAAACCTTCAACTTCCAGCCGCCGGAGCCTCGTCGTGGCCAAGGCTGTAGCCAGACCCTCAGAGGGAGAAACAAAGAAGGAAGGGAGCAGCAACAGCAGTGGAAGGAGGGACTTGATGTTTGCGGCTGCGGCTGCGGCGGCCTGCTCTCTTGCCAAGGCTGCCTTGGCGGATGAGCCAAAGAGGGGGACCAAAGAAGCCAAGGAGAAGTATGCTCCTGTTTGCGTCACCATGCCAACTGCTCGTATCTGTCGCAACTGAGGAAACCACTACGTACTTTCATTTTCTTTGATTCAGTCACTCATGGTGGTTGTATTATAATTGTTGTACAACTTTGTATGATGCTCTTGTAATTTTTGTTGGGACAACCCTGTTAATCTGCATGCCTTCTTCCTCTTCTCTTATTACATGTTTATGTCACACTTATTTAGCTTTTGCTATGTTGCTACCGGTGCGAAACAGAGGGGCTGGCGGCTCAAGTAGTTAAAACGCCTCTAAACCAAGATCTTGTGTTAATATCACTTTTATATTAAACAAACACCACCATATAGAGGTTCTGGAATCAAATTCACTATTTTAGGTACTAAAAAAAATTAGTTCTATCGTCCAACTATGGAATTAAGGTCCAATATGTCAACGATAATGTATCAATAGCTGTAACCAGCAAAACATATTGACATGTTATCAATATTATTAGCAGTAATGGAAACAGAAGAACGGGCATCCTACCAAGAAAATTTATGATCTAGGTTAAAACCCGCAAACTTAATACCTTTCAGAGGCATGGGCAGAGCTTCCTGTTTTACTTGGTAATTTTGTAGTCCGACTATGGAACGAACATTCGTTCTAGCAATATGTCATTGATACGATGTTATAGTACGTAGTGAACAAAACGTACCGATATATTGTCAACAATATGGATAGAAGAACTACATCTTTTACGGGGAGTTTCTGATAAGTTCTGACCTTTCTTAATGATGGGTACAATATGCTGCTAGTCCCTGGGGTCGTGTGGTACTTGCTGGTTGCTACATACTAGTGAGCAGTGACTCGCTTTCAGAAACCTATACCACCACCACTCCTCGTAGAGAAGACCGAAGCGGCAACACCAGTCAAGTTGCAAACCGAAGCGTTGGAAGCACGCATCGCTTGTTTCGATCGAACTTAGTGAGTTAAAACTTCCATGCCACAGGTTTATAAGATTCTTAACGTGATGAGAGAGATACCGATGATATACAACTGTGATAGGCAAGTTTTTTACCAGGTCCAGGTATGCCCAAAACACCTCAGCGAAGAAACAAACTGCGGGTATGTGCAACCCAGGAGTGAGGTTACACATACAAATCCTCCGTTGTCCAACAGCTTCGCATAACATACATTCTAACTTCTTTTTTTCTTTTGGATTGAGAGTCCGTCGAAAACATGTGAACAATCTAAACAGCCGAAAACCGAGATTTTATTAAACCATAACAATAACTAAGGATCAGGATTTTAGCCCGAATACAGGAAACACAATCCAAGCTATTTATATAACTCAGGGTCTAAGAAAAATCACAAGACGCAAAACCTTCATACAAAATAATACCAAATCCAGTACCCTAATTCGTTCCTTTTGTTACCGAAGAGTAACAGCTTGGAGAGAGAATCAGGGACATTGTCCATCATTCCCCTTGGCAACTTTGCCGGGCAGCATCAAAGACTGCAGAACAATGTTCGTTGCAAACTCATTGGCTTTTCCCATTTTTCTGGGAAACAACAAAATTGCGAATAACTTCCATTGCTAACTGGTGAGCATTCTTATTCTGCAGCTTTGCAAGCTCATCTACAGCTTCATACGTCTCCTTATCAGCAAAAAGTTTCAAGTTGTAACGTGCTGGTGACGCCTCTGGACCTTCCCATTTGTCAACCAACTCTTGAAGTTTCTCAAATCCCTGATAACAATACCAATTAGAGTCACAACGATAGATTAAACCACCACCTTCATCCTTGGAGGGCCTAAATATAATTTTATAATCTTATTTTACAACTTACCAAGCGGTTTGTGAAGTCGCCGAATGACTCTTTAGATTGTCTTCTACGTTTCCAGTAATAAAACAAAGGTTCGAAAACCTTTTCAAGGTCTTGAACCTTGACCTTGTTCATGAAGGATTTTGCGATTGAGGTTTGATTGGGTGTTCCTCCAAGCCAGATCTATTTGAACACAAGCAGAGAAATGAAAAAAAACGCTCAGTTGCTTTCTTGATAATCTGGACTTGAGCACGATCAATATTGCGACAGATGTGCTGGAATTTGAATTACCTGATAGCTATTTGGACCATCACCAACTAGTCCAAGTTCAGCCATGTAGGGCCTAGCACAACCATTAGGGCATCCAGTAATCCTTATAACTACTGATTCATTGTACTTCAGACCAACCTGAAATCCAAAAGTAATATTTACCACATGCAATCTAATTCGTTAACAATAAATTATCTTGATTTTCCACCTTTTGTTAGTGCTTTGTGGAACGTGCTTGTTATTATGGTAATACCTTCTCAAATACTGCTCGAACCCGCTTAAGAATGTCAGGTATACCTCGTTCAGCTTCAGTTATTGCCAGTGGGCATAGTGGGAAGGCTGGGCATGCCATGGCAGTTAAGTTGAGGGGGTCTACAAACCTAGGATGCTGCCACAATTGGAACCGATCAGTATTATCCCCATTTATGAAAACTCAGAACCTCAGTGCATTTTTTTTTTGGGGGAAAAGAATGCCCAAAGAACATTTTTATAATAGAGACAATACGTCTCAAACAGTTCAAGTAAACTAAGAACAAATAAGTTAAACTAACAATTGTTTTCTTAAGTCCTGATCACTCTCCGATGGACAGCATCATTCCAGATGGACAGCATAGCAGGTGAATCAGACACGCCATCCTACTGAGTTGTAAAGGTTCACTTGGCAGTGAAATTTATTTCACAGATTAGGAGTAAAAAAAAAAAAAAAAACACATCTTACCAGCAGCCCAGCTTTTGCAAGAACTGTGGTGATGGGACGCTTCCATGCACTGCGAATATCACATAATATGATGTTCTGGTTTGGTGTGAGCCTTATACTCAAATTATACTTTTCTATAACCTCTCTTAATGCCTGCTTCATAACTCCCCCAATCCGACCATTATCGACATGAAGCCCACAATAATAACTGCCATCACCCTTCAAACAAAGATATAAATAGTCAGGACACAGCGCTATGCAATATGAAACATAAGACGGAATCAAAGACATTCAATTCTATATGTGAAAACCAAAGAACGAACCTGCTTGTGCCATCCCAAGTGACTTTTGAATTCCCACTCCGGCAACTCACGGAAAGGCTCAAATTTCTTTCCGTAATACTGTTCCACTACACTTCTGAACTTTTCAATCCCCCATGAGCTGATCAAATATTTCATTCTACTATACCTCCGATCATCTCTTCTCCCATTTTCACGTTGTGTAACAACTATAGCCTTAATGGCATATAGGATATCCTCTTTAGGGACATAACCCAATGGCTCAGCCAGACGGGGAAAAGTGGATTCCATCCTATGTGTCCTTCCCATACCACCACCAACCTGCAGAGGAAATAATCAGAAATCATGTTTTCTGGAGAAAATTAGCTCAAATATAAACGTTAGAGCATAACTTCATCGTACATATAGGTTGAACCCTTGAGGCTCCCCGTTATCATCAGTAACAACCACAACCCCAATATCATTTGTGAGAATATCCACCGAGTTGTCTGTTGGCACCGTAACTGCAACTTTAAACTTCCTGGGCAAGAACTGAGTTCCATAAATGGGCTCGGGTGAATCAGGGAAGTTTGTTCCGTGAGTATTATCATTGCGGGCCTTTGTTACTTCAGGAGGCTCTGCGGTCAGGAACTTCTCTCCATCCACCCACACATCATAGTAAAATCCAGACTGTGGAGTCAGCAATGCTGCAATGTTCTCTGCAGTCTGCTGTGCGCAAAGGTAATCCTTTCTTTGTATTGGAGCAGGAGGAGCAAGAACATTTCTGTTAAGATCGCCACAGGCGCCAAGAGTTGAACCCATGCTTCTAATGATACTACTCATTACAGTCTTTAGATCCTTTTTCAGAACCCCATGGAGCTGAAACGTCTGTCTTGTGGTCAAACGAAGGGTACCAATTCCAAACTGATCGGCAAGATCATCCATGGTCAAGTACAGTTGGTTTGACACTTTCCCACAAGGGTTTTTGGTACGAAGCATAAACGAGTAGGACCTTCCACCACGTTCATCTCGGTTATATTGTTGATAACTCCCGTGGAACTTAATGAGTTGTGTAGCAGCCTCATTAATGTTCGGGGCATCCGTCAAAATCTCTTCATTAAGAGGGTATCTTATGAAATTGCTCTGTTCTTTGAATATCTCAACCTTACTCCGCTTCGTCTCAGGCTTTGCCGGCTGCAAAACACAGAACCTATGAAAACAAGCACATTTCCTACAAACAACCAACAACAAGCAACCTAACAAGCATTCGTTCCGCATTTTCCCCTCGGAGCCTAATGTTTCGCCACCAACTGACAAAAACTCGAGAAAGTTATGCATTTGATTGAGATTTGATGAACTTAAATAATTTTTGTAATAATCAAGCATAAAAATAGCCAAAAAAATGCTTTACACATCAACCCATGTTTTGATAACTAAAGAAAGTTATGCATTTACAAAAAAATGCTTTACATATCAACCAATTGACAAAAACTAAAGAAAGTTATGCATTTGATGGAGATTTGATGAACTTAAATAATTTTTGTAATAATCAAGCATAAAAATAGCCAAAAAAAAAAAAATGCTTTACTTGTTCTAGTTTAAATTGAATAATTCACATCAACCCATGTTTTGATAACTCGGTAAACAATTTTGACAGTGACGGCTGCAGTAATTTACAAAATTAAAATCAAATAATGAGCGCCCCAATCGGCCAAACAATAGAATCAAAGTGCTTAAATTGAACCACATTTTGGCTTTACCTCTCACAAAAGTACATTAATTTATCATCTTTCTTACAATTATTCATTTTCTCGCATTTTCTGAGCAAACAAACAGATGCCAAACAAAACAGAGGGAGGATCAGGTGTTCGAAAACGCACCGTAGTGACGGCTCGAATGAGCGAAGAGGAAGAAACGGAGGAGAGAGGCGCGTGTCGGCTCCTGGTGAGGCCAAGCGAGTTTGTCGAGCGCAGGCCCTGGTACCTCCCAATCTGCACCTTGGGCTCCCCCAGAACCGCCGTGTTCGCACATCCGAACGGCGTCGTCGTCGTCATACCAACCAAGACGACGGAGCTTCGAGAGGTTTAAGAGTTAAGAGAGTGAGAGTTAGAGGAGAGGGAGAGAGATATATAAGCTGTTGAGTTGCGTGGTG